ACTGAAAAAGATACATATACTGGTCACATACATTATAACTGCACATTAGAGCAATGATATTAAATTCTTTTCCCCCAAATAAAAATTATAGTTAATAGAAAGCAAACAAAACCTCTTTAGGATAGCCCAAATTATTGACCAATTTCTTGATAGTGCCTTCATATGCAAGCGACTCAAAGGTCTCTGGTTTGTACTGTGCCAAAGTGTAATCCATATCAAAGCCAACAGCAACAATATTCTTCATATTCAATGATCTATTGCAGAAAATTTGTTTTCCTATATCGAGTTTATGTCCTCCTTCAGGAGATGGCCATATGTATGGTTTCTCAACCCCATTATTGGAGTTCATGAACTCAAATTCTATAGCCTTTTCACCTACAAAAGCCTCTGGACTCCGGTCCATTGGGTAGCTAGCATGCATCTGATTAGCCCCTGGATATTTAGCAAGGAGAACAATAATGATTAGTATATGACCTAAAACAACATTACGTCAACATGTCTCAGTTCAAAGCTACAACCAAATATTTACGAATTCAATGATCTAAATAACTTAAAACATGTCTTCAGTCCAAATGTCACAACAAGTCAAAGTCATTTTCCTAGTAGTATGAGTTACCACACTAGAGGTAGAATTGGCAAGATAGAACTCCACCTTTTTGGCCATAACTTCATTCAAATTAAGTTGCCATAAACAGGAAAATATCGAAACTTTTTAATCCTCACAACTTAAACTCATGATCACCTAATCTCTTACCTGGATTTAATTTTTCATGAACAAGTGAATAAATCAGCTTAATATTGATAATTCTTAAACATCGTTCTTGATGGTAGCCAAACAAGTTGGAATATACTTGAATTTAGTCAGCTGGAACGGAACAACCATGGAATACAAACTAAAGATAAACTGAAACATCCAGTTCTTCATTTCGAAGGAAAAATGAAAAAAATAATAGGAAAAAAAAAAAAAAAAAGATTAAGCTTTCCTAGATAAGTAAACCTTGGTATCTTACCTTCACTCATTGAAGTTCAGTGTAAATTGAAATAGCACAGAATGCACTCCGTTATGAGCGGAGCCTAAGAATCTTCCAAGATATGCTCCAAGAAACACCTAGAAATCCAATTTCTGAATCAAAAATCCATGCCCTTACCAATCTAAATCCAACAGTAACCTAAAACATCACACTCTAATCCTACCTTCACCTCCCAAAAATTGAAACCAAAACATTCAATTCCACAACAAACAAGAACAAACTCAACACATATTGAGCACACGAAATCAAATTCCATAACAGAATGCAAAAAAACAAATCAAAGAGCAGCAGTTACCTGAAGTATGAATCGCTCTACGCCTGGCGGGAATCCCGGGGGACAAGCGAAGGACACGGAAGGAAAACGGGGCGGGAAACTCCACGGAGAAGATGGAGAGACAGTAGGAAACTGGCTTCTTGAGAATACGCATGGTGAATTTAAATAGACATTTGAAAGGGCAAGGGGAACAGTGAGTGGAGAAGGAGAACCTGATGCTGAAGAATACGAAGATGTGCGATTGGGAAAGGTAGGAAATGCAGAGTTGCAACTACGAGAGCGTGCATCAAAATTGCGATAATAATTATGGTTTAATCCGGTGTTTGGCAAAAAGGAAAAGGGATTATTCTGGCGGGAATAGGAACAGAGGTATTCATTGGTTGTGGGTGGAGGTGGTGGTGGTGGTGGTGGGACTGACGGGAGCAGAGGGAATTAATTCCTTACCTTCCCTCTGCGAACTGTATTTTTGTAGTGAGTGGGGACTGGGGCGTAGGGGCTGTTAGTAGGGAGAAGACAATGAAAGGACGTTTAGGGAACTGTGGGTGAGTGGTGAAGAAGATTTTGCATAAAAAAGGATGAGGATGACGTGCCACGTGTTGGTTTGTGTAGTTTGTTGTGGTGGTCACCCAGACACCCACTGTTCATCTCTAGGTCAATAAAACTGCAAATATTGAGCGTAATTTACTCGGAGGCCTGGCAAGCCCACACTCCGTTAATTTTTATTTTTTTTTACTAATTTTGTAATATTTAAAAATTATATTAAATTTAATTATTATTTTTTTACAAGAATAATAATTAATAATTAAGTTAAAAATGATTAATAATTTGAGATTTGATCCCAAAACAAGTGATCTCTCATTTTTTCATTGAAACGTATGACCCATCGAATCGCATCATGTTGTTTAAATTAATTTAAAATATAAAAAAAACTCTTTTTTATTTTTTTTTATAAAATTTATATTTAAAATTTTATTTAAAAAAATTAAAATTCTTCCGTTCAAATCAATAAAAGATTGATCATTCTTTAAATTTATTTTTCTTTTATTATCGTTTTTTTAATTTTTGAAATAGGACAATTTGGGGAAATGAAAATTGGATTTGTTGAGTTAAACACACGTCCATAAAAGGTGACCTGCATTTGACCTGCATTTAAATCAAGGGTCATGGTCTTGGGTAAGAACGCGAAGTTCGTTTATTATTGTTAAAACAAGAATTGGTGGCTTAATTTAGACATATTGTATGGGAAATTCTAACCTGTATTTTAATAAAGAATTAGTCACTTAAGATATATTTATTATATTTTTTATAATTGATTTGTATTAAAAAATAAAAAATAATTTTAATTTTATTAATTAATTAATTAATAATATTTATATAACATTGATGATAAAAATAAATTTAATTTTTTTATTTAAATTAAATATAATTAATATTTTTAAAAATAATATTTTACAAAATATAACGACCACAACATTAACAATAATGGACATAATGTTGACAAAAAAAAAATAATAACAATAATGATGGACATAATCTCAAATTATAGGTCCAATCAAGATCGAAATGGAATTGGAACATTTCGAGTATCAATCAAGGTCAAATTACGGGTCCAATCAAGACCGAAATGAATTTTTTTTTTTTT